TTCCACCACATGCGTGTAGGGTCGGATCATTTGCATTGCTGTTGTTTGCTTAAAGGGGACAGGAGACAATCGTCGCACCCCCTTTGGGAACACGCGTGGCTTCAGGGTGCAGCGAGGTGTGAAGTCGGAGCAGATAATACGACGGCCCCCTCCGTGCCCACAGAAGTGTAGCCTCAGCAGCTGCCCCCGCCTCCCTCAGAGCCCCAGGTGCCCGTGCACCTGTCCTTAAGCCCGTCAGCACACAGCGCCACCACCTGGGGTGTCAGCCCCGGTCACGCCCACCAACCCGGCGACAGCTGCGGCTGGCTCTGGGGTGACGTAGGGCAGGGACAGTGAGAGGGGACGCGAGGACGTTGGTAGAGGAGTGGAACTTAAAGATGAGTATATTCTGGTGCAAAAAGTGGACGTCCACGTCTGTTTTTTTCGTAATATACATTTCCGTGAACTGGGTGTGGCACCGGGGAGTGCGGGCCGGGCTGGCTCGCACAGGCGAGGTGAGGGCCCCGTGAGCGGCTGCATCCCCGGGTCAGTCGGCGAGGCCCTGAGACGTCAGGAAATAGCCAGTCACGCAGGAGGAGAAGTCTAGAGCTTTCTCGTTTCCCTCTGAAGGTGTGATGGTTTAGTGTCTGGCGGCAATGGACGGTAGGTGGCCGGGCTTGGTCTCCTGCACTGGTTGGTGCAGACTCCCCCCCCCTTCCCGGGGGCATTAGTGCTTTTCCCTGGGGATGTTTGGGAGCCCCTCCCTTTGTGGCCCCGCCTTCTGTGCAGTGGGCCCCGCCCGTCATGACTTGGGTTCTGGGGTCCCTTTGGTTTTCAGCTTTCTTCCCTGGACGGCTGTGGGCGTCTGGTGGCTTCTCCCGGGCAGAGGGCGTTGGCCAGGTCGAGGTTGACCGGGGAACGGTTTGTCACGTGATCTGCCCTCGCTGCCCCCCACCCACCTTGCCCTGTGCTCCCCACACGTGGCTCAGATTGTGTGTATTTGGTTGGCGACGTGGTGGTTTTTAATTCCATCACTGCTGCATTTAACAGCTCCTGGTTTTTTTTCTTAACGAGGGTTTATTCATTGCTTTCGGTCGTCCTCAGAAGTCTTCGGATACTCCATTCTTTTCAATGCATCAGTCTTCCAACCAGCGAGTCGCAGCCTGTCAGAAACTCGTGGGCTTAAACCTTGGCCTGCCGGAGCCTCCCGTCCTGCAGTGCTCCGGTGTTCCCCGGGACGCTCCCGCCGCAGCCATGCCCTCCGCGTGCTCCCAGAAGCCCTCTCTTAAGGACGTCATTTTTCAAGCCCATTTTCTGGGCCGTCATCGGGCCTGGGGTGTTTCAGGGCACAGAGATAAGAGATTTGTTCACGCTTTCTCTCTCTCTTTTTTTTTTAATTTTTGACAGGCAGAATGGACAGTGAGAGAGAGAGACAGAGAGAGAAAGGTCTTCCTTTGCCATTGGTTCACCCTCCAATGGCCGCCGCTGCAGCCCGCGCACCGCGCTGATCCGATGGCAGGAGCCAGGATCCAGGTGCTTTTCCTGGTCTCCCATGGGGTGCAGGGCCCAAGCACCTGGGCCATCCTCCACTGCACTCCCTGGCCATAGCAGAGAGCTGGCCTGGAAGAGGGGCAACCGGGACAGAATCCGGCGCCCCAACTGGGACTAGAACCCGGTGTGCCGGCGCCGCAAGGTGGAGGATTAGCCTATTGAGCCACGGCGCCGGCTCTCTCTCTCTTTTTTAAGATTTATTTATTTATTTGAAAGTCAGAGCTACACAGAGAGGAGTGGCAGAGAGAGAGAGAGAGAAGAGAGAAGAGAGAGAGAGAGAGAGAGAGAGGGGTCTTCCATCCGTTGGTTCACTCCCCAATTGGCTGCAACAGCCAGAGCTGCACTGATCCAAAGCCAGGAGCCAGGAGCTTCTTCCAGGTCTCCCATGTGGGTGCAGGGGCCCAAGCACTTGGGCCATCCTCCACTGCTTTCCCAGGCCATAGCAGGGAGCTGGATAGGAAGTGGAGCAGCCAGGACTAGAACCGGTGCCCATATGGGATGCCTGCGTTTCAGGCCAGGGTGTTAACTGCTGCGCCACAGAGCCGGTCCCTCTTTTTTTTTTAAGAAACAGATTTTGCGGTCATGTTAGGATTCCAGGTTCACTTGCCTTCGCTGCCTGGATCCCTGTGTGTTCTCCCTCGCTGCTGGAGACCTTGCACACGGAATCATTACTGTCTCCTCCGGAGGCTGCCGCGTGCAGTCTCAGCGGTGGGGAAGGGAGACCTGTGCCACGCCAGTGCTCCTGGCTGGTCCCCACAGGGCCCCTCTCTGCGCCCCTTGCCGGGCGAGGCTGCCACGCTCAGCCACGCCGCTGCGCACCCATGGAGTTTTGGAAATTCCCTTCTGCCCCCCGGCTGATGCACGGGCACTCCTCTGTCTTTCTGTGGGAACAGGAAGTGGCTGCTTTGGGGCCCAAACTGGGTTAATTCAGGCTTCTATGCCTTCTCCTGTGGCTGCAGGAGCGGCCACGTCCCAGAACGTCCCTGCTTCTCAGAATCGAGGCGTGGCTGGCGGCCCTGCCTTGACCTCCAGCCTCTGTGCGGGCGGGGCTTGGGCATCTCGGCTCCGGGGCCGCGCGGCTCCTCCTGCCACCGACCCTCCCGTCCCGTTGTGGCCGGAGCCTTCTCAGCACTCTGTGACCTTCTGGGGCCAGCGCTGGAGACAGGCAGGGGCCAGGACGCTAGTGTGTGTGGGTCCCTGCTGCCCTGCGCCCAGGTCACCTGTGCAGCCTCTTAGATGTCCGTGTGTGGGGCATGGCTGTGCCTGCTCTGGGAGGGGCGCTGTCCTTTCCGTGTCACCGCTCTGGCAGGTGCACCCTGGACGCACAGTGAGGCTAGAGCTGGGAGGACACGGGCCTGTCTGACTGTGAGCTTGTGCTCCTGGGCCTGTGATCAGCTGGCTGGGGGCCCGTGGGAGGACCCCATTCCAGCTGGTGTCCTGAGGGTTAAAGGGCCACCATGGACCAAGAGTGCACTCTGGCCAGTGTCCGTGACCAGCTCCTGCCCATGGGAGGAGCCTGCGTGGCCCAGGAAGGGCAGGCCCAGCCCCTGGCCTTGGAGGCCGGGCCCAGTGTCCTCTGACAGGTTGCAGCCTCTGCTCACGTCCTTGCCACCTACGTGTCCGTGGCGTCATGTGCAGAGGGAGGTGTGGGGTGGAAGGAGTGGGCATGGAGCCGTCTGCCCGGCCGGCTGCAGGTGCACTGTTCTCAGATGCTGCACGGTGCCTGGGGGTCCCTCTCAAGATGCCTGTGTCACTAGGCCTGGGTCTGTGCAGGACAGCGGGGACAGCTGTCCACTCGGCTCTGGGCAGGCCTGTCCATGGACAAGCCTGGGGAGACCTCGGGCCATTCAGCTGCTCTGTTGGCCCCTGCCCAGCCCAGGCACTATGGCTTTCTGAGTCTGCTCTGTGCTGGCCCCTGGTCCTCCTGCAGGAGTGGGGGCGTGGGTGAGCTCGGGTGGGGGAGCACCAGGACACCTCACCCCCGGTGCCCCTGCGTGTACCCAGCCACAGGGAGTAGCTCGCTCACAGCAAGGGAAGGGGGAGATGAAATGGCTGGGGGCCATCCTGGGGCCGTGAGCTCTCGCCTTGCTGTGGGGCAGTCTCCCTTCCCGGACGCCTATGAGAAGGGCTGGACGCAGACTCGGGCATCAGACTGTGTCTGTCCAACTGTGTGTCCCTAGACGGGCGGCAGAGGGCGCTGCTCACTCAGTGTCGGGGGACACGCTGTGGTTTCACAGGATGCCACCTAGGTTCTCGTGCAGTGGGGTCGCTGTTCTAAAAACCCCAACCACGCCGCTCTGCAGATCCCTGGGGGTAGCGTCGTGGCGACAGCAGTAGCCTCAAGACGTAGCCTCAAGATGTGAAGGGGCCCGGCATGGAAGCTTCTGGAGCTGCCACCTTAACGTGTGCCTTGCCGTGAGCTAAGGAGTCGCTGCGCTCACCTGCGGCTGGCTTTCCCCGGACGCTGCCCCCTTCAGTGTGGCCCGAGGTGGCTGCCGTCACCTACGGGGCGCCCCGAATCTGCCGATCTGGAATCTGACGTGACTGTCAAATCCCGTCGGATTTTGGGGCATCTTGCGTTTGGATTTTTGGGTTCGAGATGCCCAGCCTGCACAGCCTGATCCAAGATCCCACACCCTGGAAACTCCACAGCCTGAAGCCCTGTGCCCGGCAGTCCTGTCGGGGGACACGCCTCTGGGTTCTGCACCCTGCTGGGCAGAGGGGTGGACGGGCATCCAGCACCCGGCCGTGTCTCGTGCTGGGGAGGTCAGGGCCGAGGACACGGGGACAGGCGTGTTCCCCTCTTCCCGGGGGCGCTCGCCCCACACCCACGACGCTGCACTGCTGGTCAGGGGAGGTGCTGGGCAGGCTCAGGTCGGGGCAGCTCCCCGTAGGGCCACCTGGATCTTGGGTGGGAAGCTTGGCCGCGTGCAGAGGGCTGGAGGGTTCATCCAAGTAGGACAGGAACCCGAGAAGAGGTCCTGGGTGGGTGGGCAGGGCCATGTGGGACGCCTTGCTGTGCGCCTGGTCCTGGGTGGGTGGGCGGGGCAGTGTGGGACGCCTTGCTGTGCGCCTGGTCCTGGGCGGGGCCGTGTGGGACGCCTTGCTGTGCGCCTGGTCCCGGGTGGGTGGGTGGAGCAGTGTGGGACGCCTTGCTGTGCGCCTGGTCCTGGGTGGGGCGGGGCCGTGTGGGACGCCTTGCTGTGAGCCTGGTCCTGGGTGGGCGGGGCGGGGCCGTGTGGGACGCCTTGCTGTGAGCCTGGTCCTGGGCGGGCGGGGCGGGGCCGTGTGGGACGCCTTGCTGTGAGCCTGGTCCTGGGCGGGCGGGTGACCCCGTGAGGCTGTGGCCTGAGCGGGCGGGTGCCCCGCGGTGCTCGTGTGCAGTGGCCCCTTCCTCTGGTGGTGGTGAGGGAGGCAGAGGCGCCTGCCGGTGGCGACGTGGTCCCTGACCTGTGCTTTGCCTCCCCAAGGAGAACCACTGTCGCCGCATCAAGATCCTTGGGGACTGCTACTACTGCGTGTCCGGCCTCACCCAGCCCAAGGCCGACCACGCCCACTGCTGCGTGGAGATGGGACTGGACATGATCGACACCATCACGTGAGTGTGCGGTCGCCGAGCCCCCTCCTGCCCGCCACGGGCGCCCCCACAAAGCTGCACGAGGGCCCGGAGGTCTGATGGTGCAGCAGCAGCAGGGCCAGGGGCCAGGAAGCCCACCGCACCCGGGGCTGTGCTCCCCGACCCCTCCTCTGCAGGGGCTGGCGTGTTTCTTCTCCCACAGGATCCCGCGTGCTGTGGGTGTGCATGGATGGCACACAAAGGAATGACCTTGGCAGCTGAGCCAAATCAGGGAGGCCCAGGCAGGAGGCGTGGGCTCCTGGCCTCAGTGCTCCGTGTGGGGCAGGGTTGGGATCCGAGCAGGTGTCTTTGAGGTGTGAACGGTGCACCTGCCAGGCTGCTGCTTCCTGGGCAGTCTCAGCTCACCGTGGTCCTTACCGCTGACAGAGTTGGGGGGCTTTTGTCAGGTGAGGGGGGGTACAGAGCTGGGAGGCTGGCGCCTGGACCTGAGGCCACATCCAAATTCAAGTGTCTCCCGTTGTGGAGAGGTGGGTGTGCTCCAGCGTTCATGGGGATTGGTTACAGCTTCGCCCTGGAGCAGAAAAGCAGTGGCACTGGAACGGTGTAGGTAGGACGTGGCCGTGGGGAGGACGTGGCTATGGGGAGGACGTGGCCGTGGGGAGGACGTGGACGAGTCGCCCAAGAACCACTGTGGGGCTGTGAGCTGGGTGGGCCTGGCTCCCTGGACCGTGGGGCTGTGAGCTGCGTGGGCCTGGCTCCCTGTGCGGTGTTACCGCGTCTGGGCTGCCCCAGCCGTGCCATGTGGGTTTGACCAGAGGAGGCTTCAGGAGGGAGCTGGCGTGGGTCCCCTGTGCCCGGGACACTGAGGGACGCTGGGCCCTCCAGGCACTGATGTGCGTGCTCTCCCCGAGGGCCTGGTGTGGGTCCTGGGTGTGGTCCAAGGCCGGGCGTGGGGCAGCCCCTCACTCCCCATTGCAACCCCTGCCCTGGAGAGATGCTGCCTGCAGGAACCAGGCAGGGGTGTGGGCGGGCGTGTGGCTCGGAGAGCTGCCGGGAGGGGAGGGCTGTCTCCCGCGTGCTGGAGGCTGGCGCGTCACACGCCAGCATCACATCCTCTCACCCCAGGTCACAGAGCATGGAGCACGTCCTAGCATACATCACAGCATCATACACATCCCACATCACATCACACGTGTCACTCAGGTCAGGCTGCATCACTTCACGCATTGTCACGTCCTAGCATACATCGCAGTGTCATACACATCCCACATCACATCACACGTGTCACTCAGGTCAGGCTGCATCACTTCACGCATTGTCACGTCCTAGCATACATCGCAGTGTCATACACATCCCACATCACATCACACGTGTCACTCAGGTCAGGCCGTGTCACTTCACGCATTGTCACGTCCTAGCATACATCGCAGCATCGTACACATCCCACATCACATCACACGTGTCACTCAGGTCAGGCTGCGTCACTTCACGCATTGTCACGTCCTAGCCGATACAGCACGGTCACATTACATACATGTCACACAAAACATCACACGTGTCACTCAGGTCAGGCCGTGTCACTTCACGCATTGTCACGTCCTAGCATACATCGCAGCATTGTACATATCCCACATCACATCACACGTGTCACTCAGGCTGCGTCACTTCACGCATTGTCACGTCCTAGCTGATATAGCACGGTCACATTACATACATGTCACACAAAACATCACACGTGTCACTCAGGTCAGGCCGCGTCACTTCACGCATTGTCACGTCCTAGCATACATCGCAGCATTGTACATATCCCACATCACATCACACGTGTCACTCAGGTCAGGCCGCATCACTTCACGCATTGTCACGTCCTAGCCGATACAGCAGGTCATGTTACATACATGTCACACATGTGCCGTATCATGCATCACAGGATATTGCATCATGTATACAGCATGTCGTCATGTCACATCATACATTATGCACCATGTCAGAACATACATCAGATCGTACTGTGTCTTGCCATGTATCACGTCACGTGCACCAAGTGGTACCCCTGTGTGTCATTGTCTGATGTCCTCATATGTCGCATCATGGCATGGCATGGCACGTTGCATGGTATCCTGTGTCATATGCGTCACACCAGGGTGCTTCAGAAGTCCATAGGGAGACAATTAGGTGAGTTCCTGTTGGGACCGAGCGTTTGGAATCCGTGTGCAGATTTCCCGTGGCACGCACCTGCTGAGAACTGCGGAGGCCCCCTCCGGAGCTGTCGGGCTTTTTCTTTTCTTTTTTTTTTTTTTAAATTTTTATTTATTTATTTATTTGAAAAAGTTACACACAGAGAGAAGGAGAGGCAGAGAGAGGGAGAGAGAGAGGTCTTCCATTCATTGATTCAGTCCCTAGTTGGCAGCAATGGCCAGAGCTACTCTGATCTAAAGCCAGGAGTCAGGAGCTTCCTCCTGGTCTCCCACGTGGGTTCAGGGGTCCAAGGACTTGGGCCATCCTCCACTGCCTTCCCAGGCCACAGCAGAGAGCTGGACTGGAAGAGGAGCAGCCAGGTTGCTGTCGGGCTTTCTCTTCACCACCATAAGCTTGCCTTTCCATTCCGTTTTCTTTTCGAAGTGCCCTGGGGTGTCTGTCTGGACCCTGTGGTGTGTGCTTTCTTGGGGTGGAACACAGAGCGCTGGGTGGGAGCAGCCAGGGGCTGGAGCTCAGCTTGGGCCGAGGTGCGTGTGGGGAGCAGAGCCGTGGCCTGGGCTGGCCGGCAGCTCTCGGAGTTGATCCACGGTCGTGCCCTTGCAGGCAGTGGCCCTGCTGTGCTGTCGGCTGGGACCTCTGGCCGGGGCCCTCGTGCGTTCCGGCTTCTGTCTTGCCCGATTTGCACCTTGATGAATTCTAGCCTGAGGGGCCCTCGTTCCTGGCCACCACCCAGCAAACCCTGTGTGTCCCTGCTCGGTTTGCCACTGTGTGGAGCCGTGTGGAGCCGCACACCCACCATCCCACTCTGCTCCTTGGTCCGCTACTCCACGAAGCGCTGCCCAGCGCTCACCTGTGTGTCAGCTGCTGGCTTTCAGGCCCTGAGCCTCTTGGCCTTGTGTCCTGGCCCCGCCTGAAACCAGCTACCCCAGGGCCACTGGAGCTGCCTTGACTGCTGATTGCCTCGGAATCCCCGGGGCCTCAGCTGTCCAGTGGGGTCCTGGCCCTGGACAGGAAGCTGCAAGACACTGGGCTCTGGAGGTGGCCTCCCCCTGCCCTCTCTGGGGCCACCAGGGCGCACTCTGCTTGGAGCCCCTCCCACTGGGACTCTCCGCACCCGCGCCCTCCCCCGTGGCCACACCAGGCGGCATCTGGAAACCCCAGGACAGCGCAGTATCTGGGGAGGCGGTCCAGGCCGAGGAGGACAGGATGTGGTTCTTCCCCTCCTACCTCCGAGGGGCGCTTCAGCCGGAGCCCCCAGCATGCGGGCATCTCCTTGGAAAGATGATGGAGATGATGTCCTGGGAAGCGGAGGCCCAGGGCTGTCCCCCTCCTTGGCCACTCCTGGCTCCAACAGCCTGGAGGGCCAGCAGGACCAGCCCCCCATCTGCTGCTGTTGGGGGCCCATCCTTGGGTTACTCCAGGACTCCCAGTGGTGCCCTGGTGGCTGGGATGTGGGCAGCAGCACCTGCCTGCGACCCTCGGGAAATGGGAGGCCTGGCCTGTGTGAGGCCTCTGTGCCTGGAACTGCCCACAGCACAGCACTGCCTGGGCAGAGGGGCCAGGGCAGGGCCGAGCAGGTGGAGCCAGATGAGGCCTGCCCCTCCCACCGGCGCTGGCCCCCTGGGAGACCTGTGCCCCTCCCACCGGCGCTGGCTCCCTTGGGAGACCTGTGCCCCTTCCTCCAGCACTGGCCCCCTGGGAGACCTGTGCCCCTCCCGCCGGCACTGGCCCCCTGGGAGACCTGTGCCCCTCCCGCCGGCGCTGGCCCCCTGGGAGACCTGTGTCCCTCCCGCTGGCGCTGGTCCCCTGGGAGACCTGTGTCCCTCCCGCCGGCACTGGCCCCCGGGAGACCTGTGCCCCTCCCGCCGGTGCTGGCCCCCGGGAGACCTGTGTCCCTCCCGCCGGCGCTGGCCCCCTGGGAGACCTGTGTCCCTCCCGCCGGCACTGGCCCCATAGGAGACCTGTGTCCCTCCCTGCTGGCACTGGCCCCCTGGGAGACCTGTGTCCCTCCTGCCAGCACTGGCCCCCTGGGAGACCTGTGTCCCTCCCACCAGCACTGGCCCCCTGGGAGACCTGTGCCCCTCCCGCTGGCGCTGGCCCCCTGGGAGACCTGTGCCCCTCCCGCCGGCGCTGGCCCCCTGGGAGACCTGTGCCCCTCCCGCTGGCACTGGCCCCCTGGGAGACCTGTGTCCCTCCCGCTGGCACTGGCCCCCTGGGACACCTGTGCCCGCCCTGCTCTGCTTGTGCCACGCCCCTTGCACATTCCTCCCCGCTGCTGTCTTCCGAGTCTCTGAGGAAGCAGAGGGGCCTCTCCATGGCAGCGCCCGTGTCTCGGTCTCTCTGAGAGCCGGGTGGCGCCTGAGGAGGTGCTCCCGCAGCCATGCAGGGGAGGGGGGTGGCGGCTGGCGCCCAGGGTGCCCTGGGCTGCGGGTCTCCCCATGGGCAAGGCTGGGCCGTGCAGGGGCTGCCCCTGCACACGGCTCCCGCTGTGGTCTGTGGATCTGGCTGGCTGGCGTGTGCTGTCGTCGGTCGTGGGAGCAGGGCCTTGTGCCCAGCCTTGGGGCTGTCGCCAGCGGCACTTGCTCGTGTGTGCACCACGGAGCCTGCCTCAGTTTCCCGGCAGGGAGCACCGTGTCTCAGTGCTGGGTTCTGGTTTTCAGAGGCTGTTGGACTTGGAGCTGGGTTTTCTGTGGGGTCAGGGGTGCCCACGGTTCTTCACCTCTCGGGGTATGCAGAGCCGGTGTGTCCTCGGTTGAGACTGCAGAGTCGCGGGGATCCTGAGGCCCAGGAGGGCCGTGGGGAGCCCCAGGGGAGCTGCGATGTTGGACGAGGGTGGGGTGGGGCTTGACTCTGTCTTCTCCACCGTTTCCACCACACCTGCAGGGGTGTGTGTGTGTGTGTGTGTGTGTGTGTATGTGTATGTTCTTGCCTTTTCTGGAACCTTCCACCTCACCTAGAGGCTGGAGAGCTGGCCTTGGTCGCATCCTCGCCGCCTTTCTGCTCCTGTGGCCTGCGTGGCTGCAGCACAGTACATAAGGAGGACCAGTGACACCTGCTGCAGGTGTGGCCGGTCCTCCCGTGGGGCACTGCAGGTGGCCACCGCGAGGGGTTGGCTCTGGCAGCGTCTCTTAACACCAGGGAGCCCAGAGTGGCCCCCATGCCGTGGGGGGGCTGCTTCCTCCTTCCTCCCTGTTGGGGTCAGACCTGCAGACGTGGGGGGATAACACACGAACTGAAGGGGAGAAAGAAGAAGGGGGCCGGTGAAGCGGGGAGGGCCGTCCCGGGAGAGTGGCCGAGAGCAGGGTGGTGGGCGGCGCTCTGGGCGCCTGGCTGACCAGAAGCAGGGGTCCTAGGGCCGGCAGAGCTGCAGCGTTTGAGGCGGGCCCTGCTGGGCGGGGCTGCAGTGGGGCCAGTGGCAGGAGGCGCGGCAGCAGAGGCTGCGTGGGTTTGGTTGGAGGCCGCTGTGCTGCTCCCTGGACGTCCAGGACAAGGTGGGCCTGGGCCCCAGAGACGCCTGCCCTGTTAACCCTTTCCCGACTGCAGGGGTGAGGACGCTGAGAGGCCCCGCGGCACCGTGTGCCAGGTTCAGCTATGTGTACTCCCCCCTCTTAATTTCCTTTTTTTTTTTAAAATTTTTTTTTGACAGGCAGAGTGGACAGTGAGAGAGAGAGAGACAGAGAGAAAGGTCTTCCTTTGCCGTTGGTTCACCCTCCAATGGCCACCGCGGCCGGCGCACCGTGCTGATCCGAAGGCAGGAGCCGGGTGTTTATCCTGGTCTCCCATGGGGTGCAGGGCCCAAGCACTTGGGCCATCCTCCCCTGCACTCCCAGGCCACAGCAGAGGGCTGGCCTGGAAGAGGGGCAACCGGGACAGAATCCGGCGCCCCAACCGGGACTAGAACCCGGTGTACCGGCGCCGCAAGGCGAAGGATTAGCCTAGTGAGCCGCGGCGCTGGCTTAATTTCCTTTTGTGAATGTCAAAAAATGAGTAAAGTTTTTTTTAAAGATTTATTTATTTAATTTTTTGAAAGGCAGAGTTAGGGAGGCAGAGGCAGAGAGAGAGAGAGAGATCTTCCATCTACTGGTTCACTCCGCAAATGGCCACAATGGCCAGAGCTGGGCCAATCCTGGCCAGGAGCCAGGAGCTTCTTCGGGTCTCCCACGTGGCTGCTGGGGCCCAAGCACTGGGACCATCTTCTGTGGACTTTCCCGGGGCGTTAGCAGGGAGCTGGATCGGAAGTGGAGCAGCTGGGACAGGAATCAGTACCCATGTGGGATGCCTTCGTCCCAGGGGGTGGCTTGACCCCTTGAGCCCCAATTCCGGATAAGGGAAGTTTAACTGAAGTGTTTTGTTTTAGTGCTTCTGGAGATGGACAAAGAACTGGAAAAAACTGAAAATTAAGAAGTTCTGTAGAGAATGCAGGAAGCTGAGTTGGTCTGCCTTCCTAGTAACTCGTAACTCACACACCTAATGGCTCCCGGAAGCGGGGTGCGTGCCGGACCTCGGGGCCCTGGCTTGGTCTGCCGCCGCCCAGGCTGGTGTTCCTCACAGGCCAGCAGCGGCCGCACAGGGCCCTTGTCGTCCTGACTGTCCTGACCTGGCCTCCAAGGACCCTGGCGGCCACTGGGCTCATTTCCAGTTGGGGCCTGCCCTGCAGGGGTGGGCAGTGGAGGGGCCCAGG